GGATGAGAAGGGTGTTGTAGAGAAGAGGAGAAGAAGCCCTTTTGGTAAGTGAAAGGAGGAAAATCTTAAAGGGAGGAAGAATGAATATGGGCCACACAATATGGGTTGGTGATTTGGTAGGTGAGGCACATGGTCATGGAAAAAGAAAGAGCATTGGTCAAAGAGCTACTAAAATATCTAGTCACAACGATCCAACCGATGGATAAACTGAATATCCGGTAATTTCACGACAACAGTGGCGAATAAAGAGCGAAAAATAACGAGACGCGCGCCCAGTATATTTACAACTATACGAACTATATTCTGTGTACTCGTAAATAGGGGGGAGTAGTTGATATGGATAATAAGGCAAAAGGCTGGACCAGCTGAAGTCATGGACCGGTCGAAGTCATGGACAGGCGGCGGGTCGAAGGACGATCGACCCAAAGGCCGACTCCACACCGACCCTTTAACTGGTCCCGGTCGAAGCACCTGTGGTCGACCGAATGGAGATCGGTCTAAGGCGTGGACAAGGACGATTGACCTGAAGGTCGACCCCATATCGACCGTCCGACGGTCTCGGTCGAAAGCCCATAGGTCGGAGCTATGAGGACTCAATTAGGGCGTCAACCCTTGACACACGTTCGGGGATTCATGACCCTGAAAGGGAGGACCGCACAACGAATCACTATATAAAGGGTAAATTCCATAGGTAGAAGGTAAGACATCATTTATTACAACCACTGTTACATTCATTACACACATTATTTTCCTATTCCGAGATATTGACTTGGGCGTCGGAGGGTCTTGCGCCGGAGCAATTCCGGCATATTTGCAGGTACCGGCGAACACTCGCACTTGGACCAGACCGAATTAAGCGCACTTATGCTGCCAGCGTGAAGAACCCTTTGAAAGACCGGAGTCGCTCATCTCGGACCGTATCAGTCTCCTCCTTAGTCTTTGTTTCTTTGTTGTGGGGATCGATAGCTATATATCTTCGGCTATATAACCGCCTATAGTTATTGTTGTTTGCTTTTAGGCCACACCTGTGGTCTCCTAGTTCATGCATGAGTAGTGAGTTTTGCCCGTGTCAGTATTCGAATATTGTATTCATGTTTATTGGCTTATGTGAGTTTTCTATCGTTACGACGAAAAAAAAAAGAAAGAAAGAAAGAAAGAAAGAATATCTCATAATGCATGTAATTTCATTTTTTTAAACGAAATATTAATTTTAGATTTTTAAAGTATGCGTGATACATTTATTTATATATATATATATACACACACACACACACACACATATATATATATATATATATATATATATATATATAATATCCTCATCTCTTATAAAAATTGGACAATGTAATTCCTTAAAAAAATTGGATAATGTACCCTTCTTACCTTATACATACCCGGTTTTATTTAAGACCAGACTAGATTTTTGTCAAGAATTCATATCATATTTTTTGATAAAAAACTCGTAAAATTTGATAGTAAATATGAAATATATACGCTTAAATTTTCACCCAAAAATATAACGGAATTGATAAATCTTATCTTAAGGAAACAAAAATCATTTAAAATTTGGATACGGATATTTATTTTTTATTCATTGCCAACTTCAACCATGAGTTCTTTCCTAGTAACTCAGTCTATTTTCGGGATATAATGGAAAGAATGGAGCATCTGCTTCACTATATGCTATTTTGGGTCAGTTGGGCACCTAAGATCAAGAGCGTTCTGGAACAGGGCTGCTTATTGGGACGGATATGGATATGAGGGAAAGAGTTACGACCCCTTGTTTCTGTGTTTTAACCTATCCTCGGGTACAAGAAAAGAAGGAGAATGGTATCACATAATATGACCAGTTAAACTCATATTGCAGCCTACCCGAAATGCAGATATGCTACCCGGGTTAGGGAGATCAATATGATACAAGACAGCATAGTTTTGAAAAAGATCATAACCATTTAAACAAATTTAGTACATACATGTGATTTATGTTGTTTTGGAAACAAAATCCTAATTTTAATTTTTTTTAATTTTTATAAAACCACGTGATANCTATAATTTTTATAAACCACGTGATACATTCCAAAAAATGAATATACAACATGCTTATCTGTTGAAACAAATCTTTTCATATTAATGCGTAATCTCATTTTTCCTAGAACCCCGAAATTGCGGATTAAGAAACAAACTCAATAGAACTATTTTAGAAAAAATTGATACTTAATATGATCATCTTAAGCAATCTTAAAGCATCTCCAATGCTCTAATGTTGTAGTAGAATAAATTTTGCCAAATGTCAATAGATTAAATGGATTGTGAATCATGTATGAAAAATGTTAAGTCTACAACTATAAAAT